GAGGATTTCGGGGGGAAAAAGTAGGTGAAAATGGAGGAGATGAAGGAGATGAGTTGGGGAGGAAGAAGGTCGTTGGTTATGGAACGGATCATCATCATGGAAGTGGCGAAGGAGGCATACGCCGCGAACAGGGAAGAAGCGGACGGAGGCATTTCCTTGAAATTCAACATCGTTAAGGCTAATTAAGCGTCGGAGTTCAGTAGGGTGAAGAAGGGATGCCGATCAACGCCAGACTTTATAGCTCTGCCTTCCACTCTGCAAGCTTGTGCTCCAAGGTTGGGGATGTTGCAAGGAACCTCCCTATTGTAATATTATGCTTTTTTGAAGTCTTTTTTTTTTTTTTTTCTTTCATACTTTAAATTAATAATATGTTTTTACTTATTATAGTATTAAAAAAAATAAACGACCTTGTAAACTCTATCAACCCAACCTAAATATAATTTGAATTGAGTTATGAATTTAGACATATTTAAATAAATAAAAATTTTATAGATTGGGTTAGTTTGGTTGGTTCACGTATTCCTCTTTAAACTGGAGTAAAAGTACACGGAACTAAATTTATTCTTAATTTTTTTAAAAAATAATTTTTTATTTTCGAGATAATTATATATATTTATTTTTATTTAACTTCATAATTTTTTTTATTTATTCGGGAAGAGCTCCATCAAATAATTTGAACTAGGAGATAATTTTTTATAATATATATTTGAAGTGAGTGGAATATGTTTGAAAATAAATTAATAAATATTATACAAACTATATTTTTATTAAAAACAAAAATTTGAATACCCATTTTATTTAGTTAATTATTTAATAAAAGTTATTTTGTTTGAAAATTTTGACCCGTTTAAAAAAATATTTCAGTCTAACTTAAAACATTGAAGAACGATGTTGTTATTAATCCTCGAATCAATATCCCAACTCCTTATTAGTATTAAATATTTTTATCTTTAGTACTTTAAATAACTGGTTAGTTTTTTTTTTATAAATTAAAAATTTATGTGTATTTTAATTTTAAAATAGGTAGAAATGAGAATTTAGATCTCCAAATTCATATTAAAATTATAATTTTTTATTTATTGGTTCACGTGGTAAAAATGACCTAATCAATTTTTAAAATTCAAAATTGAAAGTTTTTTTTTTTATATATAATAATAAAAATAACTAGAAAAAAAAAAATTCTAAACATGTAAAATTCAACTTTAAACAGTCCATTATGGAATAAAATAGCTCATTGAGACTAATGGTTTTGTTCTGTTTAATTTATGAAAATAAAAATAAAAATATCTCATTTTTAAATAGAATGATTAAACAAAAGAGTGGAGCAATTTGAATGCTAAAGTTTTCAACTTGGTAAAAAATAAGAGGCCGATACAAACCTTCTTCCTCCTTACCCTCTCCTCTTTTCCTCTCTACAGTGGTCGAATAATGTTGGAGTTTGTGAAAATTCCCTATTTATAATTACAATTTAATACTCATTTTTATATTAAAAAATTCATTCTTAAAGACGAGGTAAGAAATGGAAAAGACAATGAACATGTCTCCTACTGGTAGACTATTAGGGGTTGAATCTATAGACTGATTGATTGGTTTCTTATATATTGAAGGACCCAACCAACTCGATTCGGTTCCATTCCTAGTCGACTTTCATTAATTTTTTCCTCATCCGTTTCCATGGGCTTACTTCACTTCCATTATGTGTAAAAAATAAGTTTTAAGAGAAAAAAAAAAACTAAATTATAAAAAATATTCCTCAATTTTCTATTTTATTTAAAAAATATTTATCATATTCAAAAATAAGTTTATTTAATTATTTTAAACATTATCATGTAAATTTAAAAATATTAATTATAAACTTTTTTTTAGAAGAATTAAAATTAAACTAATTAAACTAATTAAACAAAATCCTACCATATGGTCCCTGTCGTATAATATACCAATCTATATGAAAATTAAATAAAAATAAAAACTCTCTAATTTTTGTCCGTCCCTCAAAATTCTCTGTTACTTTCTTCGCCGTGATTTTTGGTAGACTCCCATTTTCTTCGACGACGGCCACCGACGACCTCCATCTCATTGCCTTCTTTCTCCGGCGCCTTATTTCCACCATTCTGTTCCTCTCTCTTTAGCTTCACGAACTTGGCTAAACCTTCCATCACGATGTCAATGTCGTCGTCCTTCATCAGCTCTTCCGCAACCTCCGCCGGAGTCACGTTGGCGTACTCGATCAGCGCTTTGATTTCTTCGTACAGCGGGTGATGAATAGCTCCGCCGCCGAGGTAATTGGTGGTTAAAGCCTCGAACGCCTTTGAGGTGCAGTAGCTCAAGTATATATGGACGTCCATTCGACCAGGTCGCAACAGCGCTGGATCCAATCGGTCCTTGTGATTCGTCGTGAGGACGATGATCCTCTCATCGCCGCAGCTCGACCACAATCCATCCATGAAATTAAGCATACCAGACAGCGTCAACTGCAATTCATCACACAAATTTCAATTTCGATTATTCAGACTAATTCGGAAGGGGAAAAATGGGGGAAACCCTACCTTGCTTCTGTAATCGTCGTTATTTTCGCTTTCGTCGTCGCTATTGGCCCGATTCTGCAAATTAACGCTGCAATCGATATCCTCAATCACCAAAATCGAGCGATTTGAAGTGGAGAGTAACGATCTTCTCAGCTCGCTATTGCTGCAGATATCTGTGAGATCTAAATCGTAGATATCAAACTTGAGGTAATTAGCCATGGCGGCGATTAAGCTCGATTTCCCCGTACCAGGTGGACCGTACAACAAGTAGCCTCTCTTCCAAGCCTTTCCAACCTTGCGATAAAATTCCTTCCGCTTCAAGAATCGATCCAAATCATCGATTATCATCTTCTTCAAATCAGGATCCATCGCCAGAGTATCGAACGTCGCCGGATGCTCCAGACCGATGGATCCCCAATTCCCTCGACATCTCTCATCACCAAAATCGTCACTGTACGATAAATTTTGACTACAGAGTTTGGAAACATTCTCCATGGCTTTAATCTCCTTGGCTCTTCGTAAGATGTAAGGCAAATAGAAATCCACTACTTTATCCATGAATTTCTTATGGAAAGAAAGCTCGTAATGGCGTTTCTCCTCGATATGCTGACGATCTTCCTTCGTTTTCTCGGCGACAAAGCGCCATTTGAGATGAATGTCTTGAAATTGATCTACAATTTCCTGATCCTTATCCATGGAGAGGGAAACTCTGTGCTGCCTGGGAGTTTTGGAGGCCGCGAGACGATCCATTGAGGGGCTGATTTTGGTACGGAGGTAGATCTCGGCAGCATCGAATACCTGGTTTTTGGCGTAGTTAGTCTTATTCTTGATGACAAGGGTGGTCTGAGGAGAGGATTTAAGGGTGAAAAAATAGTTGAAAATGGAGGAGATGAAGGAGATGAGTTTGGGAGGAAGAAGGTCGTTGGTTATGGAACGGATCATCATCATGGAAGTGGCGAAGGAGGCATACGCCGCGAACAGGGAAGCTGCGGACGGAGGCATATCCTTGAAACTGAACATGGCTAGAGCCAATTAAGCGTCGGAATCCCGTAGGGTGGCCGAGGGATGCCGATGAGCGCCACAATTTATAGCTCTACCTTCCACTCTGCAAGCTTGTGCACCAACACAACAAGCCACTTATTACTGAAACAGGCTCACGTTGGTTTATTATTTCTCAAATCCATTTCTAAATTTGTTGGTTTTAATGTCACTTATTACTAAAACATGCTCTTCTTTCTTATTAATCCTCAAATCAATGTCGAACTTTTATTGGACCTAAAATTTAAAGATTTTGTTTATCAAACTTAAAATAATAAAAATAACTAAAAAGAAAAAAAAGAATTATATTTTAAACATATTAAGTAATTTTATTTGGGTAAATTATTGAAGAAAATTGGTACAATCAATCATGATTTTGTACTCAGAGTGAAGCAATATAAATGACCAAAATTCCTTGTTGGGTAGAAAATAATTAAAAGTAATCTTTAATATGTTCGATATATATATATATATATATATATACCCCTTATTCTCTAATACCATCTTTATAAAAATACTTTATTTAAAAAATAACCTTTGTTGATTTTTTAAAACATTCATTAATACTTCTAGAATTGTTACCATCACTTTTATTTTTTTTAAATGGTTTTTATTCATAGATTAATCATAAATATTATTTTAAAACTTTCTTCTTTTTTTTTACTTTTTATCTAGGTTGTTATTAATTTTTTTTTTCATTCACCTATCCACTATTAAAAACTTAAAAAATATTGATACCCCTCAACTTAAAAAAAAATTAAAAAATTTAGAGATGAAGGTAAATAGATAATTTTCATCCTTTATGAATATTAAAAATTTTTTAATGTTTCATGTTTTTTTTTTTTTAACCGGTACTATTGATTTTTTCTTTGTTCAATTTTTAGAAAAAATTCAAAGTTGAGATTTTTATTAATTTCGAAATCCTAAAATAAAAACACTAACAAACATCAATAGTCTATAAAAGTAAAAATTCATTGAAAATGGCATAAATTTTCGACAAAAGCAACGCATATTGAGAGCATAAATGTCCAATGTCCATTTAACTCGTGGATCTAAAATTTTCATGAAGGAATATCGATTCTAGCAAGTTTGTGTAAGGAAAAAAAAATCGAAAAAAAAAAAGATGACTTTATATACATGAAATAGAAATGAAGCGAATCCGAATATAAGGATTAAGCAATGATTTTCTTCCACGAAGTTGTCTTCTTAAAACCATTCTTAGCTGTCACTGTCACTCATCTTCTTCCTGAAAAAAAAAAAAAAAAAAAAAA